ATTTAAAACAAATATTTCTACATATTTTTCATGGTTTTGATTTGATTTTTCTACATACTATATTGAGAAAATAAGAAAGAAAATATGTTCAGTCATGGTTCAGTAAGTCTGTCCCTTTCTGACCGGCTCGCGAGATTTACATCTGAGAACGCACCCAGTTAGCTTTTAAAGCGAAAGGCCTCGAGTCCTCAACAAGTTTCACTTTTCAGGTCGATCAGCTGATTGGTAGTGGTGTGTTGTGTTTTGGATAACCGCAGAAGCAGTGTCTAGTGTCTTGATTTACGCTCGTAATGGCGTCGGCTCGTGTGTTGGTGTTTTGGATGGACGACAAAAAGACCAGCATCGTTGATCTTGGATGTGTGCCGGAGGAGGATCGTGATCCCGGCAAAATTGCGAAGGTTAAGTGGACCAACGGATCGTCTTATCCCGCTCAGATTATCAAAATTGGAAGTGAGTACTGGTTGAGTTCTTTTGTAAATTGTGTGAATTTGTCTCGTCTGGCCGCCGGCGCCATAACCTGTACTTCAGTGCAATGCAGTTCTACATACTTTGCACATGCTTATGTATCCTAACCTGTGCCTTCAAATCAACAGTTCAGTTGTTCAATGTGCGCAGCCTAGATTTGTTTTAATGCACTTTTTCATGGTTAGGCGCTGCTCGCCGTCCCTAACCTACATTAGTTAAATATATTTCTGTTTGGTTCTTGCAATGTAACTAAGGTAGTTATTTTTTGCAGAAAGTATGAAGAACCTAGAGCAAGCTGAGGCTAGTTTTCTAGAGAAGTACAACCGTTTAAACAAGGATGTGTCAGGCAAGCGGCACTCCAAAAATTCTGTTCAAGAAGCTGTCTCAGCTGCTGCTATTAAAGTGGCCCGGGCTCTAGGCGAGCAAGTACAGCTTCCACCACAGCAGGCCGCTACCAAACTTGCTGTTTCAAGAGAGAGAAGGTTTGTCAACTCCAACATTCGACAGTCAGAGTCCACTGGAGATAGTTTGGCTCTTCAATCGGAGAATGTTTCAAATGTGAAACGATCTCTAGAATTCGACAGTCATCAAGATGGCAATTTCGAAGATGATGCCGATGATGGTTGCGATGATGCCATTTATAATACCTCTTCTAAAAGACCGAAAGTTCTTTCTGATGATGGTAGCAATGAGCATCAATCTCCGAGTTGCCTCACTCCCAGGTCTCGTTGTGGAAAATGCAGGAGACTTTCAGCCAACAGTTAGTTTCATTAAGTTACATGTTTTCACCATTGTTGAAAACTGCTTACTATTGCTAACTATTCTATTACTATTCGTTTCAGTAAATCCTGCTTCTGTGGAGTTTATAAAGGCACTTGCTGCGTTTGTGGACTTGGCACCTACCCCTGATCCTGCCTTACGGCCATCACCAACCAGCAGTGACAAGTCTGAAGTAAGTTCGATAATAATTTCCTTCAATTGTATGCCATTTTAACACTTTGCTTTTGTTGTAGGCATGGCAGCTGAAACCTTTGAGTGTTGATCCTGGACACAAAAAGGCTGAACTAACTGCTGGCTCAGGCTTATTCCTTAAAAAATCTAGTAAAGTGACATCAGTTGTCTCAGCTGCTGGAGATGCGGAAAAGTTAACAAGGAATGTAATCCAGGATCTCTATGGTGACCAGCTGAAGCAGAAGGGTGTATCAGCTCTTGGGCAGGGGAAGAGCAAGAAGGGGATTGGCAAAACAGACTTGAAGAACATCTATGGTCAGTATGTTTTGTCTATGTCAATACTAGTTAAACTCCATGTTCATTAATTATTTCATAAACCAGTAATTTCCTTCTGTTTCAGCCTTTGTAAGTCGCAATTCAACCATCACTGACAGGAAAGGGAAGAAAGGCGAACTCCCTGATTTTACCTTTCAAGAATTTGTTCGCATTGTAAATAAGAAATTGCAATCTGCAAGCCGGGACAGATCTAATGGTAAGTTTACTTCTGATATTTAATATTCTTCTTTCTTTTACCTTCCTTTGTGTATGCAGCCACTTACTTTTATTTTATTTTCATGTTCAGACACAACTTCTAAAAGGAAGCTTAACCTTGGTACGTTAATTATTTCCTATGTTACATTTCTATTATTTTTTTCACGAGCTAATTAAAGTGATGTTTTTAACAGACAATTCTGAACTGGAACTAGCGGTACGTAGCCTGTCTAAACCAGCTACTCCTGTTTGTGCTGGAACTCCTTCCAAATCCTGGAATGTTCAGGAGGAGTCTTCAACTGGTAAATATTTCTCTTCATTTTAACGAATTGTTAATTAGTTAATTTTGAACATATGCATAAGTATTTATACTTTGCTTTTATTTCCTTAGGAGCCCTTGGCCCACATTTAGAGGGGAGCAAGCAGGTACCTAACACCTCCACTGCACTTGTCCAAAATGCAGAGGGGAGGAAGCAGGTGCTGACGACCTCCACTCCACTTAGATGTCCTAGTGTACCACCTAGTGTACAATCTCCAAAAAACTTAACTGGTAAATATGTCTTTCATTTTTTGATGTATCCAACAACATATCAAAATTTTGTATGTGCATTGAAGACTGTCCTGTACTTCAAATAATATTTTGCCCTCTGTCTTTTCAGAGAGTTTTGTGCATCCAGCATCATCCCATGTCACTCCCATGAAGAACCACCCATCTGGTCCAGTCCCCCAGCCTCACTCTCCCTCTATGCACAGTGACTACCAGTACTACCAGTACTATGGCCAGCCTTCATACCATCAGGAAGGAGGCTACCCTATGCTACCGCCTCATTCTCAACCCTACCATTACAACACAGCATATTCTATGCCACCATCTAATTTTGGACGGCCAAATCACCAACATGAAGGTAAATTCAGAGCAATTATGGCCTCATCTGACCAGCATCTGCTCCCTAATCCTGCTTATATATTTTTATTTTTTATCCAGGTTCTTTGCTTCTGGACACCCAAACCATTTTAAACCTCTAATAATTTTAGGTTTTAGTTTTGTAATTTGCTCATCTTTAAAATTGACTAACTGCTTTATGGCATTTATTTGTACCTTCGTTGTCATTCATATATCTTTCTGTGGCATTAGTGTTTGTATCTTTAAAACTGACTTATTGCTTCTGTGATATAACCAAAGGAAAATAAAAAGAAGTATATTTTAATTTTGTTTTTCTTTATTTTTAATGAACACAAATCAGCACTAAAGCA